ATAATAATCTGACTCATCATTGAAAGTGGTTCCCTTCACACAAACACCGCTATTCATGGTCTTTTTATTTTGTCCATATGCGATAGTATGAAACCGAAATCCATTAACCGAATAACCATTGTATACACTAACGTTATTGACTGGGCCAGTTATTAAAGGCAAAAGGCGAGAATCAACCTCATATCTTTCACTACGCACCTAGATTTGTTATAAAAATATTTAATGTTTAATCCTAAAATATATAAAAATTGAGATCTTATTAATAAAGATTATTAAAATAAATTACTTACCGTTGTCTTAAACCAAGGAATAAATTCAAGTTGCCGTTTGATTTAAATTTGATCCTCTGATAGATCGGAACATACTTGATAATCAAAAAGCCTACATGAAGAAGTTGGAGTAAACAACCTAAACATACTAGTAACTTAAACAAATGAAATTTAGAACTAGAGAACATACGCAATCCATGGATTAACTTCTTCATTATTAAGCAAAACATAAAGTTCTGCTGCCTTTAATTCTTTGGGTGACAATGCACGCATAGGCATTTCTCCACCTAGTGGTTGACCTTGATGTTTAAAGACAGACAAACAATTATCCATATCATCATTCACGCCGACAATGTTTCTTGGTTGACGATTCAATCTTGTCTCTATATTAGATCCAAAATAATGCGAGCAAAAGAAGGAAATTCCTGAAAGAATATTAGACTCGCAAATTGAAGCTTCAACACGATTTTTGTTCAACATTGTTTTCTTAAGGTCATGCATTTTTCTGTTAAACAAATAAGAAAATTAATTAATAACATTAAATTATTAAATATGCTCATGAATGTTATTGTGATGCAAAGATATATTAGAAGGAATATACCTTTCAAAAGGATACATCCAACGAAATTGGACAGGTCCTCCAACTTTTGCCTCATATGGTAGATGGATAGCCAAATACTCCATCGAGTCAAAGAATGCTGGCGGGAATACTTTCTCTAACTTGCAAATGGTCTCAACAATTTTTTCCTCCCACATCTCCATGTTACTAACTTGAATAATCGGAGCAGTTAAAGCTCTAAAAAAGTTACTCATCTCAGTTAAGGGACCCCAAACTTCATCTATGAGGAAATCACGGAAAGCAATTGGCAAGAGACGCTGCATGAATACATGACAATCATGGCTTTTCATCCCAAACAATCGAAGTTCCTGCATGTTAACACATCGTGCTATGTTGGATGCATACCCATCTGGGAATCTCAATTCCTTCAGCCATTGACAGATAAGAGCTCGTTGCTCTCAAGTAAGAACACATGTAGCATTGGGTTTTATAGTTGTTCCATCATCTTGAGGTATCAATTCTAATTCAGATCTATTGCAATACAGCTGTAAATCCAATCTAGCATTGGTGTTATCCTTCGTACAACCCTTGTCATCCATGAGTATTTTTAATGTTATCTAAAAAATTCTTCTCACAATGCATGACATCAAGGTTAT